TTGTGTGCTGATCTGAAGGAAGCCACACCGTTTCACATCATTGATTAGTTTCTCTACAAGCTATTGCAATGGAGAAGGGAATAGGAATGGGGAATACAGGAGTATGGTGGAGGCTCATGTGGAGTATAAACACTGAATGAAACAGTCTGTGTACAACGTTCTATATAATTCTGTTCAATCTTAGTGAAACACGGTAAACTATTCTTCTCCGGGCACTTTCTCCTATATCCATAGAGGATGTCCCTTCATTTATTCCCACCGCACTGTTGATACTTTCTATCTTTTCTACATACTGTTACTCAACCAAGGATCTCAAGGCAGACTTTCTTGTCTCCTTTTATCTGGATAGCTGCCTTGTGACCACTTTCTACACTCACAGACACCTTCAATCCAGATGAATATCAGTCTTTGTTTGTCCACAAGTGCACGTAAGCCAGTCCAGAACCTTGGCATCTTGTTTGACCCTCAACTGTTCTTTTTACCCCAAATCTCGTACTACAACCCACTCTGCCTTCCCCCATCTCCGCAACATCGCCTGTCTCACACCGCAGGACGCCGAAATCTTCATACACGCATTCATTACATTGAGGCTTGCCTATGAAAACTCCTTGCTTGTCAGCCTCCCCAATGTGAGAGATACTATACAAATGTAAGTTGTATTTTATTATGAATGACCACTGTCACATCACTCAATAGCAGCCCCCTGAGAGATAAGGTGCTGGTTGATGCTTGCATGGTATTTGAAGAAGATTAAAACAATAATTAGGTTAATTTGTGTTGAGTTGATGTATGTTTTGTAACAAAGCTCTAATATACACGGAGAAAACTGGGCTTGCCTCTGCCTCTCATGGAGTTCTTCTGCCCATCCATACTTTGTAGCAGATCAGCTGATATAGGACTAAGTGGTGTTTGTTGTTTGATAGCTTCTGCAAATTTGTCCCTGAGCACTTCTAAACAACTCTAATGCGATTTTAAGAGTATAATTTAATTTTATTTTTTTACTACCTTGGTATTTATACATTAAAATTGCATTAGAGTCATTTATAAACGTGTAGAGAGAAATCTGCAAAGTTACCCACATCAACAAATGCACCATATTAGGGCACGGAGCAGAATACCTCTGGGAAACAGAACCAATTTTGATAAGAGAAATAATAAAAGTCCCGAAAGAATGAACGCAGGAAAAAAAGAAACTACCAACGCTCATTGTTCCACATTCACAGCGCAAGCAATTTGTGTTCTTAATTGGACTAATTTATTACAGAGGCTACATGTCAAGTGCAGAGACGGAACATAATTTGCATTTAATGTGGACTATGAATCATGATCCAGTAGCTGACTGCAAAATGAGACACACAGGAGAAAAGTGTTCTGTTAGAGGACTGCGTTACCTACAATATATCCTGTTGTGGGTTCCTTCAAAATTTATAATTGTGGTGATTTTTTTAAAAAAAGGGTTGTTATTGCCTCAAACAGTGATTAATTTTATTTCGTCAGCCGGGTCCAACACATGCACATTCCCATCACCATGATTAGGAATATCCAAATCAGATTGAGAGTTTTTAATATGTATCCCACCTACACATTGAAATGTATCTGGAATGGAATGCACACTCTCCCTAGAGAGATACATCCTGCTTCCCAAATCCCTACCTTCTCCTTCTACCCATCTCCTCTGTTTACCCCTTCTGATCAGCTAACTCATGCTTGCTGCATGTTCCCACCTTATCTGTGCCACCATTAGTGGCTGAGTTTTCCAATTCTGCACCTCTAATCTCCCTCCTTCTTCCCCCTCTGCCTTCCTCTCTCTCTTTCTATCTGCAAGTCCTATCTCAAAACCTACCTCTTCAACTGAGCCTACGGTCAACTTCTTTCTGTCTCCTTTCTCCCCCAGCCCCAGCTCTGCATCCGCCCCGTCATTGTACAGCATACCGAGACATTATTGTACATGAAGGGCAATATATAAATGCAAGTTGTTGTTATTGTCTTTCACTCCAAGTCTTGCCAATGAGCCAGGCTGGGCTGTGCTGTCATCAGCAGTGCCCTGGAATACCGGAGACCTACCTGGCTCAGGTACAAGACTATCAAGACCACCACAGAGGGTTGACTCGATTCCAACGTTTGATTCATTGCCAGGCATGTCATCATGGAACCAGCACAGCTGCAAGGAGACCCCGCTTATATCTCTTCCCCCACCCACCCATCCCCAAGGAGGACAGTGATTAACTGTCAATTAAAATACTTTGTTTTATATTAAGTACAAAATACTCAATTACATAAATTATACAATTTTAATTGGCTGCACTACAGGTTTTTCATATTTGGCTTGTACTGCCTGTTGAACCATTTTCTGATTCAGTCGCTCATCCATTATTTAACATATTTCTTCCACCAGCAATCCATTAGATTGAAAGTTAAGTTCCTTTTTTTTCAAAACAATGCAGGCAAAATCAAAACGTTACTGTGCACATCACTAAACATGTTCACTTTGGGGATGAATGTAACTCTGGCCATGGATAGCAACAGAGCAATGTTAAAAGTATCAACAAACAGATTCTAGCTCAAAATAATCCACTACCTCAGAGAAAGGAGGTTAATCAACATCAAACAAAAGCTAAAGGCAATAAATATGAGGGCACTAACATTCTCCAAACCATTTATTAAATCTGCAACCCCTGCTAAATTATGAATGATTTAAATTTTCCAGAGTAGCTAGCAACTAATACAACAATTATTGGTGTTCTGGGCAGAACTGTTCATGAATGAATGACACTGCACTAAACTTTCTACTCAGAGTACAATGTTACAGCAGGCTATAATAATAATAATCCTTGCATTTGAAATAGCGCCTCATCACGTCTTCAAAACATCTCAAAGCACTTCACAAAATTTACTGTAAAGTATGTTTTGTGAGCGAAACACGGAAGCCAATTGAACTGTGCCACAAACTGTTGTGGATTGAGTGACCAAATTATTTCTTTTTGAAGGGATTATTCCTCCCGGTAAAGCGATCCGCCAATTGACAAATAACCGGGTTACTACTGAGTAAACAGAGGCTTGTCTAGTAAGGAAACTTGCCTAACATTGCACCCTGCCCGAGAATTGAACCCGGATACACTTGCTTGTGAGGCGAGTGCTCTACCCAAGCAGCTACAGGACTTATCAATGATCATGTTGCCTCTTATGTTAAATCAGCAATTTTTCCACCAGCCATTATTTGATGCTTTATAGTATTCTGCCTTTCTTCTGCTTTCTTTTGAAGTGATGAAGTTTTCTTTAATGCTCCCAGTATCCTCTCTCGCCACGACTCAGGTCTGCTCATTCTCCGCTAATGCATCACCAAAGTGTGTCATCTTTGTTGTTCACACTGCACCACAGTAGATGGAAATAAATCTGTTACAAGATTATTACCTTCCTGCATGTAGTGCGGTGCCTTGTGGTGAATGTGCAGTTGAAGAATAATTAGCGTTTCCATCAAAGCTCAGTGAAATTTCTATCACAGCTATATTTTGGTACTGTGTCAAAATATTTAACTAGGATTGTAAAATCGAATGCATCACTGAATTCATAGTTGTCCACTTTGACATTGTTTGAGTTAATGGCAGCTTTCCAAGTTTATTTTTTGTACTGATCCTTTTTTGTATCAACTATACATTATCCATTAGAGGATGACCCCGTTGAACTCAGCTCACACAGTTAGATAGCTGTAATGGATGCATGTATTAGAAGATGCAAAACATAGAAAAGCACAAATTAGAATAGATTGGATTGTCCTTGGCTAGACTTACTACAATCTAGAGTGTTCTGTGATAGGAACCATAGGAATTTCATAATGGAAGGAGGCCATTCAGCTCATTGTGGTGAGCTGAATGCCCTCCTTCCATTATGAAGGAGGTCCTTTGGTGCTATCTTCTCTGCTACATACGTCTTCTGCCCCATCGTGGGTGGCTGAACCTTTAACCCACCACCCTTCAGACTCCCTCCCTTTATCCCTCTGTTTGAATCGTCTCTCTCTCAAAATCTGCTTCTTCAACCATGTCTATAGTCCTCTCCCCCTTCTCCCCCATTCTTGGCACCAACACTGTCCTGTGAAGTGTTCTCACACATTATTCTATGCTGCTGTGGATACTTTTCCCTTGCTTTTTCCCAATAATTTGGAAAATGAGTTTGCATTATTTAAAATATAATTTCTTAATAAGGAACTGTGCAAGTCAGAACTCTTGCAATAATCAGAAGTATGTAACGCCAACACCAGCAAAGAGTATGTTGAAAAAGAAATGTCTCTTTGATGAGTTGCTGAACTGACTTGAATCCTTTGAAGTGCTTTGAGACATCCTCCCATTGTGAAAGGCACTATGCAAAATGCAAGGATTTTTTAAATTTATATTAAATACATTTTTGTTTTTCAATTCAAGGAGTAAATAATTCCAGATTATTGAACATTGTATTGTTAGTATTCATCTTATTGTTGGCCTTACTGGATTATTCACTTCTGTTAAACACCTCATCCAAAGGACTGTTTGTGGGACATTGATGTATGTAATTGGCTGCTGCGTTTCACCCATAAAATGTACAGTCAATTCATTTTACAGTATATTCTGTGAAGCGCTTTGAGATATGACATGATAAGGAGCTATGTCAAATGGTAAGATTATTATATATATTATATTATTTATTAGATTATTTAATGCAAAACAGATTCCCAGAGAGAACTATTAATCTCTTAAGAATTAAGAATTACAAAAAGAACCACTGTACAATACACATAGACATGTTTGTGCACATGATTGCATTGCCTATATTTAACTTTTTAAATAAGCCTGATTTATAAATATTTCTTACAACTTTTACCAATTCATGTTTTTGAATATGGGTAACTTAATGCAATCATGTGTGTGGATTCATTACAGCTAAGTCCCAAAGAAATGTTCATTTCATAACATATCTATGATTGTCATCTTGATTAAAACTCTACAAAGACTCAAAAGTTTTCTGCTTACCCCTGTTCTCTGTACTTCCGTGAAAACTGCTCTCTGGAAGGTTTTCTCCCACACGGCTAGCTCACTGCCCAGCTCCACGTAGAAATAATGGCTCTTCCCTTGTCCGGCCAGGATACTGAAACCATACGGCCTCTGGTCTTGAAGTTCGCAGTCCTGATGAAGACCTAAATATAAGTTTGCTTGTAGCCAGCATTCATCAGCAAGCCAGAGCTGTAAAATATTCTGCAGTAGATTACATTTGAGCCATTTAATTTTACGGGCAGACAGTGCCAAGTAAAAGCATCTCAACGTGAATTTGCCATTACTGATAACCACAAATCAAAGGCTAAAGATTTTTTGAAGAAAATCGCAGCATGATACAGTATTGTGAAATAAAAATAGTTCAGATATACAGATTCCTTTAACGTTAAATTCTATGTAATATTTATATATTATTTGGGAGAAAAACAATTTTCGCAAGCAGGGAAACTGAAGGCACTGACACGGTACTCACAAATTGAATTTATGCATCCAACCAGTTATCAATATATTTGGTGAAATGTCAAGAACATCTAGATTCAGATGACTCTCTTAAGTGGTTCATTTTTTTCTCGTGTTTCATTGATGTATAATGCATTCTAGGCTCTACTGTAAGGAAAGCTTTGCCATTCATATTAACCTTGCCAAACTCATTCAGAGAAAGAAACAAGGATCTGAAAAGCACTGAAAATGTCAAACACAATTTCTGAAGCTGATCAAAACAGGCATATTACTGTGATCGTGGTGGACTGTAGATGCTCTTCAGGATCTACCCCATGTGAAGAGCTCTATATTGTTATTGTTGTTGTTATTGATGTAGATCTGACCTTCATTGTCTGAGTAGGAATTATCATCTTTAAGAAAACATTCCTTTATATTTACATTTATGTTGCCCATTCACAATAACTACATTGAACAAATATGTATTGTTTGGGAAAATGTATATAAAAAATAAACTGAAAAGTCTGTCTCAGCTCATTCATTAAAATTCATCAACAGAATTATTCAAAAAGGGGAATGAGCTGCTATGAGTTTTGCGACACTGAAGTTCAAGAAGAAAATGGAGGAAAAATGGCCGCATGTGGTAGAAGTGTAGAAAATTATCAGGGATTTTGACAGGGTAAATAGTTAGGAGTTATTTCCACTTGTGCAGTAGCCAAATGATTAAGGGATATGAATTGAAGATAACCACAAGAACAGCGAATGGAGAGTTTTTTCCTACAAGGTTGTTGGGATGTGGAATGCCCTGCCAAGTAAGGTGGCAGAGATAGGGACCATTGTGGGTTTCAGGAGTGAAGTAGACAGACCTATGAAGGATAGAAGCTTGAAGGGTTACAAGGATATGGCAGGGCAGTGGGATTGAATGGACACCTTGCTCTGAGAGACAGTGCAGACCTTGTGGGCTGAATGGACTCTTTCTGTACTGTATAATTCTATGGGTATTGTTCAGTGCATCTAGAAACTCCTGTTTATTTCTTTCAATTGTTAGTCAGTCATTTACTGTTTTTACTGTGCGTTCTGCATGGCGTCTGTAGTTTACTGCTCAACATTTCTACCTGAAATGCTTCACTGTCACACAGAGATTTACCTTATGAACTTTACAAAGAATCTCACAGAGGTTGTAGATTTTCTCAGCTCGTAGCCAGTCGCGAATGCTAACCTATGGTAAGCAAAGCAAAGAGTCAATGTCAGCACCTTAGGATATTCTCCCGATGTGAAAACCACTGCATAAATCTCAATTTATATTTACGTTTATAGACAATTTCCGAAGCTGATCAAAATAAGCATCACTGTGATGGTTGTGTGATTGTGGAGACCTGTAGATCTGATCTTCACTGTCTGAGTAGGAATTACCATCTTTAAGAAAACATTCCTTTATATTTCCAGTTATGTTGCCCATTCACAATAACTACATTTAAAATGGCTACTGATCAAATATGCATTGTTTTGAAAAATAAACTGAAAAGTCTGTCTCAACTCATATTCAAACACTCATCAAAAGAATTATACAAGAAGGGGCAATGAGATGCTTTGACATTTTGTAACACTGAAATTCAGAATAAAATGGAGGAAAAAATGGTATTGTATTGTAATATTATCAGGAACAAAATAGTGCCATTACACCAGATAATGGTCCTCAGGAATCTAAAGCGAGTCTCCTGCAGTTAACTCAAGGTACCTCATACCGACCCTGAAATCTCTGCTCGACCTGCGATCATCTCAGAGCTAAAATCATGTCAGTGGGTGAGACATACACTGAACTCTGTGGAGGAGATGCACTTTGTGTCCTGAGGCACTCTTACCTGTATCAAAGTACTATTTACACTGCCATTTCCCTGGCAAGTGCTTTTTCAAACCCTATGTGAGGGAATACTAATTGCAACGTTTTGCTGAGCAATTATTAGCTGGCTTACAAAGCAACAGTTAAAGGCTGAAGTCTCAAAATGTCATTTCTTTTATAAAACAATTATTCAGTTGCACTTTCCTAACAAAACATAAACATTTTCTTCCTTTGTGGATCCAGATGTAGTCTTGTTTTGAACCGGATGTACTAGAATTCTAAATCTGCTCTGGCAGTCCTGGGCTGTTCGCTATTTGTCAAATGTAAACCCTGTTTTCAAACCATTCATAGTACACCTGGGTATAACTCTACAAGAATCTCAAACTATAATACTTAGAGACATCCGCAAGATGTGAAAAGCGCTGTATAATGTAAACTGTATTGTATTATAGAACCAGATGGTTTGAGGAGCAAGGTACCATTGAAGAAACCTCATGATTAAGTCGGGATATAAAGCATTCACTTACAAAAATACACAGTCACTACACATTACACTAAACCTTGTGGAGCACTTTGAGATGTGCTCCTGACATGAAAAGTTCTATATCAAATGCAAGGATTATTATTAATAATATTATCAAGGATTGTACTAGAGGTAAAGAAAAGCAGGAAACATAATCAGAGAAGCAAAGGTAAACACTACATGTAAGTGATAATGAGGCTTTCCAAATAGGCAGGTAGCAAATGGCCAGTGGTATCCAGAGTAACTAACTGATCATTTACCTCACAGATCTGACCAATTCAGAATAATAATAATAATAATAATCCTTGCATTTGATATAGCGCTTTTCACGTCGGGAGGACGTCCCAAAGCGCTTCACAGAATATACTGTAAAGTGAGTTGACTGTATATTTGTGGGCGAACGCGGCAGCCAATTGCGCACAGCAATGTCCCACAAACATTCATAGATTGAAAATGACCAATTTAATTATTGTTTTTGTTTTTTGGAGGGATTATTATTAGGCTCTGTGTGGAGTAAGGAAACTTGCCCAAGGTTTTGCCCTCTGCCTGGAATTGACTCAGGTCTCTCACTTGCAAAGCGAGTGCTCTAACCACTGAGCTACAGGACTCCACAGGTTAGGGCTCACCTGACTCGCAAAGACGATAATAGCGAAACATACTGCGGTGGTGCTCCCCAGAGCGATTAACACAGACACTGTGTCGTAGTAGGAGGCTATGGTTCCCACCATATAAGAGAAGCTGAGTGTGAGAGCGGCCAGACACAGGATATTCCTTGCTTGTTTGTCTTTGAGACCAGTCAGTGCACTTGATCGTGATGACTTTGAGACATATAAATACGTGATAAAGTGCTGTAGAAATGCAAGGGTTTTGCTTCCTTAAATAAGAGGTTAAAGAATCTATTAGGCCATTCAAAATGCTGCTGAGAAGCTCCAAATACTTCCAGCAGTGTAAAGGCATTAAAGGAGTTAAGAACTGGAATTAATGGCTCAACTAATAGCTTTGTACATTCACTAAACTTGGGAGAGATGTGTCAGGTCTAAAATGTAGTAATCATAACTCCATTATTTTAAAAAGGGTCACGAAAAACAACTGGAAACTTCAAGCTCATAGATGGTTGTGCATATCAGAAATAAAAATAGGAGGGTCATGGACTCTATGTTTGGGTCAGAATTTCCTGAGGGAGAAGCTGAAAGAGACCTTGGGGTGTTAGTTGACTGATCGCTCACCATGTTAAAACAGTGTGAGGCAGCAATAAGCAAAGCAAATAGGAAGCTGGGTTATATTTCAAATCTATTGAATTCAGATCCCCAGATCCTGATCCATGCTCAGGATGTATACAGCTCTGGTCAGGCAGTACTTGGAATATTGGACACAGTTCTGGTCATCGCAACATAAGAGGTTTAATCAGGCCATAGAGACAGAGTAAAGGAGAGCAACATGGATAATTACCAGTTTTAAGGAATGAACTATGAGCAGTGATTAGAAGTCTACAGTCTTGAAAAGAGCGGTCTCGCAGGGGATCTTATACTGGTAGAATCATAGAACCCATCATGCCTCTCCCTGCTCTTTGAAAGAACTATCCAACTAGTCCCCCACTCTTTCTCCATAGCCCTCCAATATTTTTCTTTTCAAGTACATATCCAATTCCCTTTTAAAATCTAAGTGCTTTGAGATGTCTCCAAGACGTGATTAGGCGCTATATCAAATGTAAGGATCATTATTATTATTATTGAATCTGCTTCCATCACCTTTCCAGATAGTGCATTCCAGATTGTAACAATTCGCTGTGTAAAAAAAATTCTCGTCATCTCCTCACTGATTCATTAGCCAATTATCTAGAATCTGTGTACAGTATGTATAATATGGGTGTGTATGATGTGTATAATATTTTAAACGGGATTGATAAAGTAAACCTGAAACATTACTTCGAGATATGCCATGAGAGCAGAACAAGAGGACACAAATCAGTTTCAAGACAGACAATGGGAAACATTTCTTTACCCAGAGCGTCAATGAGGCTAGAATTCTGAAATCATTTAAGAAATAGCTTGACGCTGTGATGGGAGGATGTCTGGAGGTGGTGGGGATGTTCTGGAAAAATTAGATCTGAAAAGCCATCTACATCTGAATCAATTACAATGAAACTCTTTCAAACAATTTGAAATATCACAGCACAGTATTTTACTGCCCTTGCCCATCAACTACTGATCTTTAACAGTGAGCACTTATTATTCACTGCTTGACATTAAAACATATCTACCTTGATGGCAGTAGGCTCTGATTATTTCCTGCAGTGTAAAGAAAGGCATGAAAGGAGCTAAGAACAGAATTAATGGTTCAACTAATAGTTTTGTACATTCACTAAATTCTGAGAGATGTTTCAGGATTAAAAGGTAGCAATCATAACTCCATTATTTTAAAAAAGGGTCACGAGGAACAGTTGGAAATGACAAGCTATCACATGGTTCTGAATTTTAGAAGTAAAAATAGGTTATAATAAGACTTTCTTGAATACAGAACAAATGTGTAACATTAATCAAATCTAGTTTAGAAATATTCCAATGTACAGGGGTTTAAGTTTCTTCATTGATCAGTAAAGATGCACATACATTAGATCAGGATTTGTACTATGGGCTCTTATTGTTAGTCATTGCAATATCATAGCAACTTTGATGTCACTCTGCTAAGTCTGATCTGTTCCTTGCCCTCCACTCCATCACCAATGCACAAATCTTCAGCCACTTTGGAGACTAGACACATGTAATGGGCTTTCAAAAGAGAATTGGTTATGCACATGTAGAGGAAAGTTATGAGAGTATAAGGAAACATCAGGGAATTGGGATTAGGATGCATGTCTTCTTGTAGGAGCAAACACCAACATAATCATAATGCTTGAATTTGATATAGTACCTTATATCATCAAAATGATGCACACAGTTTGCATACATCAATGCTCCACAAACAGACATGAAGTAAACAATCAACTTTATCGGGGCAAAAACAGAAAGAGCTGGGAAAACTTAGCAGGTCAGGCAGCATCTATGGAGAAAGGAAAGTGAGTCAACGTTTCGGGTCCACGCCCCTTCATCAGAACGGAACTTTATCTGGGGGATTGTTGGCCAGGACACTGGGAAAGACTCTCTCATCTTTTGTTTAAGTGACATGGGATCTTTAATTCCACCTGAGAACAGGCAGATAGAGCTTTGGCTTAATATCTCAAATGAAAGACAGCATCTGTCACAATGCAGCACTCCTCCAGCATCGAACTGGAGTGTGAGCCTGGACAATGAGCTTAAAGTCCTGATTATAATATTTACAGTAACAATACCAATTTACAGTTATATAGTGCCTTTCATAATAATAATAATCCCTCCAAAAAACCAAAAACAATAATTAAATTGGTCATTTTCAATCTACGACTGTTTGTGGGACATTGCTGTGCGCAATTGGCTGCCGCGTTCGCCCACAAATATGCAGTCAATTCACTTTACAGTGTGTTCTGTGAAGCGCTTTGGGACGTCCTCCCGACGTGAAAAGCGCTATATCAAATGCAAGGATTATTATTATTATTATTATTATTCATCAGGAGGACTTCTCAAAGCTCATAACAGAATTGGGTGGCACCCCAACTGAGCTGGGATGGGAGCTGAGAGAGGTGAGGATGGGAAAGATGACTGAAAGCACAGCTTTCCTCACCTCTCTCACCTCTCTCAAATCCCATGGAGAAATTCAAAGTTGAGAATGAGGATCTTGAACTTTATTTATATTGATATTGTGCCTTTACCACAAGATTTACCATAACGAGTAATGACTGTATTTATAAATTTGCAAGTGAAGTATTATATTTGCAAACTAA